ACTCAGCAGGAGCAGTTTTGTGTTTGCAAGGGGGAGGAAAAACGATAAACCCACAAAACCAAAGCAAAAACCTTGTGGCAAGAATTGCAGTGAGGCTCAGGCTGAGGGTGGCAGGTGGGAGGGATTGGTGACATGAACGGTGTCACCTGGAGCTGTTTTCTGTGTCCAGAGGGAGAAACAGCTCCAGGAGCCCTGCAGGGCCAGGTCCCTCCAGCCAGGCCAGCCAGGGGTGGATCTCCTCCAAACGGGCTCCTTTGGGCTGAAGGAGGAGAAGGGAGAGGGAAAACAAAGGGAAGCCAGAGCCCTCAGGCGCCTGGAAATTGTGAAATTGAAAATGTTTCATCTCATCACTGTTAATGAGTGAATTCCTGAGAGCATGGAATACATCTGTGTGCAGGAGCAGGGGTCAGGGAAGGGCTCCCAAAGCCTCCTCTCCTCAGGGAGCTGAGCCCAGGAGGATGGGGATGGACTCTGGGAGGCAGAGCAGGGATTTGGTGCCTCGGGGAATGAGGGGGAGGAGGGGAAGGAGCCGGGGGTGACCCTGGCAGGTCCCTGCAGAGCCTCTGGTGCTGCTGGGCTGGCTCTGGAGCTGGGCTCCAGCCTCTGCTCTGAGCTGCTCATTGTTTTCCTCACAGCATTGAGTGCTGCAGCCTCTGAGCAGCCTCGTGTCCCTCATTCTCCTTCCTTCCTCCAGCCCATCAAACATTCCTGCCCCCTTTGGCTCCCTGCACGTTTATCCAGACTCCAGCAGCAGCCTGTGCCAGGCCCAGCATCCCAGAGCTCTGTGCTGGACTCCAGAGATCAGGAAATGTCTCTGGAGAGGAGGCAAAAAGCGCTGTGGCTTTCTCCCTGCTCCCCTGAGGTTTCCCAGGAGAGGCTTTGCAGGGTGTGGGTGTTGAGGAGGTTTGGGGGTGCTGGGGCAGAGCCTGGGGAGCAGCAGGACACAAAATTCCTCGCAATTCCTCTGCTCCTGGAGGGATCAGCCCTGCCTGACAAACCCTGCGTGTCTCTGGCAGCGCTCCATCATTCTGATCTGGATTTTGACATCGTGTCTCTCTCTCCAGTCCTAACAGAATGGGAAAGGAAATTATGTGTGTTTGAACAAATCACAGCACTCTGACAGGAGTCAGGAGCAGTTTTAATGAAGCGGATTTGTTCCCTGTCTCATCCTCCTGACTGGTAAATTTAACTTGACTTTGTCCCTTTAAATAAGGGAAATCTGCAGTGCCACATCTGATGCTCCATCAGAGTCTGTAACGCCATCACTCACAGGAGCAATAATATGACACAGATACTTTTTTAATGATAAATGGCTTCCATCATTCTGGAAAAGATCCTGCCTTAAATGGATTGAAATCGTGCAAAAAAACTCTGGGCTTATTCAGCCACTTGTCCTGGGAGCTGTTGGAAGAGCAGATCTTTGGGATGTGTGCTCCAGGATGAGCTGGAGTTTGAGCTGGGCAGGATGTGCAGAAGGGAGCAGGGTGGACACTGCAGGGACTGGGGCTCTGACCTTGGCTTTTCCTGAGGCTGCAGCTGGGAGCAGAGAGAGGAGCAGGAGTTGTTAAAGCTGTCAGCTCCTAAATTCTTCCTTTACATTTGGAAAACCTGACCCAGCCCATCAATAAAGGCTCTTCTGTCCCCACTGTCAGTTAGAGGCTGATTTATGTCCTGAAACTCGATGATTTAGGTCTCCTTCACATTTTTCTTCCAAGCTTTTTTGCCAGTGGAAGTGGGGATTCCCATCATTTGTCCGAGGACAGCTCCCTCTGGGTCCTGCTCAGCCCTGCAGCGTGTCTTGCACAAAATACCACCCACCAACTGTGGAAACAAAAAATCCCTTTTTTCCCATCTCTGGGACCCAGATACTGCTTTTGATTTGTTGTTATCATATCCCCTTACAGCAGACCTGGTAAAGATTAGTTTGATGCTGATTTCTGCCTTTCAAACACAGGTGGAGCTGGGTTTTTTTGCCAGGTTTTCAGCTTTTGAAGGGATCTCTCCTTGGAGGAAAACCTGGCATTGATCAGGGTCAAGATCAGGCTGAAGCCTGTCCTGGGCTGGGCAGGATCAAGGAAGGCAGGAGCCTTTGATGTGGAAAAGAGGCAGGAATGCAGTTTAATTCACAAATCTGGGGGTTTGGGGTGCAGGAGAAGTGCAAAATTTAGGGTCTGTGCAAAAGAACACACGAGAAAAACTTCCAGCACCCAAACCTGACACTGATGGTGTCCAAGGGACCCACCACTGACGCTGTGGCACGTGAGGGGTTTGGGCTCACTGCACAAGCAGCATCTGATTTGTTGTGGCCACGGAGCCGCTCATCCTAAAGAAAAAGGGAAAAGTGAATATTTGCAGTCAAAAGCCAAGAATTCCATGATGCCAGGGTTTGAGATCACTGCACAAGGAACATCTCCTCTGTTGTGGCCATGGATCAGCTCATTCTAAGGAAAAGGGAAGAACCAATATACCACAGTCAAAAGCAAAAATTCCACAAGTGCAGGGTGGCACCGTGAGGTTCATTTGCCACAGACTCCCAGGCTGACAGAAGGGAAGGAATAAACACAAGGTTCATTCCAGAAACACGAGGAGTCAGCTGAAAGCACAAACAAGGCTGAGGCTCTTCCCAAAGTGGAACAGCTCAGCCTCTCCAGCCTGGCCAACTGCAAGCCTGAGCCTGACTGTGTTTGATCTGGGAATCAGATTTAGCCCACACCATCCCAATGAAAAATATCACACGTGGTCTGCACTTCAGGCTATGTTCCAATATCTGAAGGAAGGGATCTTTTAATTGAAAACCTTAATGTTTCTCGTTATATTTAAAATTAGAGCAGAACGGCAATAAAATTGGTCATGGGATTGAGTCAAGTTTTCAGGGAGGGAAAGAAATTTATTCTTAATTTTTTACATCGAGGCATCCGTTAAAAGCTTGGGCACATTTGATTACGTCAATGCAAGGATTAATAATTAAAGGAACAACAACCACATGCCTTGGAGAGACAACACGAGAGGCAGCAGGAGCCTCTGAGGACGCCCTGGTTCTGCTGGAACCTCAGCCCTGCCTGCTGCCCCTCAATATTTAGAGAAGCACTTTCCCACCAGGCTCTGCCCTTCCCAGGAACCTCCAGCTGGTGCCCGAAGCCAGGGAAACGGTGCCAGCCCTCGGTATCAGATTGATTTTGAAGGAACACTGCTGCTCCCACAGTTTAGCAGGGGTTCACAGAGAAGCGTTTGGGGTGACCCCTCCAGCCCCAGCAGGAACCCTGGCAGGTGGTGACACTCCAAACCCCCGGGTCAGCATCAGCAGGGACTGATGGAGGAGGAGGCTCCAGAGCCCCCCGTGTCCCCAGAGGCGGATGGATGTCCCCAGAGGCGGATGGATGTCCCCAGAGGCGGATGGATGTCCCCAGAGGCAGATGGATGTCCCCAGAGGCGGATGGATGTCCCCAGAGGCGGATGGATGTCCCCAGAGGCAGATGGATGTCCGCAGAGGCAGATGGATGTCCGCAGGCTGTGGCTGGGATTCGGAGCCGTTCTGCTCCCACTGTGGCCCCCGGCCAAGCAGAATCCTTGGATTTTTGCTCCGCGGATCCATCCGGCAGCCCCAGGGCTGGGAGCGTCCTCCTGGGCCCTGGGGGCGGCTCCAAGCCCTGGACCGAGGGACGGAGTCTCCGACTCCAATGCGCTTTTCCCAACCAGCCCCAAACGGTGCTCCCATCCCTCCCTCCCCATCCTCCCTCCATGGTGGGAATCTTCTCACTCGTTAATAACCCGCTAATTATCCCAGCAGCTTGGAGCTGGGCTGCAGCATGGAATCAGAACCAGCTTTTCCTTTTGGCACCCACCCCTGGGTGGAATTAATGAGGCGAGAGGAAGCCAGAGCTCTCGGGTCAGCCCGGAGAGGGCGGCACGCAGTGATCGGACATCCAGAGCGGGATGTTCCGGGCTGGCCTCGCGGAGGGAGGGCGCATTTTGGGGTCAAACTCTGCAAAAAGAGATAAGGAGGAAGAAAGATGTGCTCCTTGTTTCCTTTGCTTTTCCCCATTCGAGCTCAAAATCGGGACCAAGGAGGGCTCCATGGAAACCCTGCTCTTCATCCCCTCTTCCCTTGTTTGGGAAGGCTGGATGGGCGGCTTGGCCATCCCCGCCCTGCTGGGCAGCCCAAGGAGCCCTGAGAGCCCAGCCTGCTGCAGATGGATGTTCTCATGGAGCTCTGGGGAATGAATGGATCTGGAGAGGGATCTGGAGCTGAAGGAGGGATCAGCGCCACTCACACACCGCCAGCGCCAGGTCGTGTCCCCTCTGCCTTGGCACCAGCAAGTGGCCTCCAAATCCAAATGGAATTGCTTCCCTGCTCACGGGATGTGGGCAGGAGGCTGAGGACCCCGTCTTGCAGAGCTGGGCTGGGGTGACGCAGCTCTTCCCCACCACCCCGGGGTGACACAGCCCTTCCCCACCACCCCGGGGTGATGCAGCCCTTCCCAACAACCCTGGGGTGACACAGCCCTTCCCCACCACCCCAGGGTGACGCAGCCCTTCCCCACCACCCCGCTCCACCCAGGGCTGGCACTGGGAGGGCAACGCCTTTGGGCACTGCCACAGGGCGGTGGCATCAGCAGGACAGAGGGACACGATCCTCCTCCTCCTCCCACTTCTCTGGAGCACTGCTAGAGCACAAACTTTGCTCGGCGCTCCCTGAGGAGCGCTCGGGCTGCCCTCGCCCATCCTGTGGGATCCCTTCTCGCCGCCCACCGAGCCTGCTGGAGGGAGCCGAGGTTTCCAGCCCTGTGCTGCTGCCAGAGCAGCTCCCGGCGCTGCCGGCTCGGGCCCCGGGGGCTGTGGCGATGCCCCCGACGGGCGGCAGGAGGATGCTGGAGCTGCCAGGCCCGGCCGGCAGCGCGGCGCTCCGGGGGGAGCAGCGGTGCCAAATTGGGGTTCTAGCCCTTTAAATCCGATCCGGTACTGCAAAAAAAGGACGAGCGAGCAGGAGAGAGCCTTCGGAGTCTTTTAATTAAAGCTTGTAGCATATTCCGTATTCCCAAGTGGCGGCAGCCGCCCGCGCTTCCCCAGGACACCTCGGGCTCGGCATGGACGGGGACCGCGGCTCGGCGGGCACCGGCGGCTGCAGGTACGGGCGGAGGGACGGGGCTGCGGGCACGGCTTCTCCCCGCTCCTGCTGCCGGCTCGGAGCATCCCCCTGCTTTTCCCGTGTGTTTTCCTTTGCCGGGGAGAGAGCGGAACGCGTCGCTGTGGCTGACGGGGGCCGCTGGCTGGAGGAGCCCTCCCACCGCTCACCTGGGGCCGGGGCTGCCTGTCCTGCGCTCCCTTCCCTCTCCCCCTTCCCTTTTCACTAACCGAGCGCATGACCCGGAGTTGTGGCTTTTCCCCCCCTCGCTGCTCAAATCCCCTCGCTGCCGTTCAGCAGGAGATAACTTGGGATGCCCGGCCCGTAAATCACGGCACAAGTTGGTCCCCGCCCGGCTCCTCTCGGTCCCCCGTGTCTCCCAGGTTAGGGGAGTTCTGCCACATCCTTCCATGCGCATTGCACTGGCAATGCAGAGCGGTTCTGGAGAGCCGAGCCGAGCCAATCCCGGGTTATCGGGATCGGCAGCGTTGTTTGCGCTCCGGAGTCTCCCCGGCACTGTCACCCAGCCCGAGAAATCACCCGATAAATCGTCCTTCGGCAGGAGCCCTGTGCCCAGAGAACATTTAGCTGTGAACTGCCCCACTCAGCCAGAGATTTTCCTCTCCTCTTTAACCGAGTGGCTCTCTGTTTATATTTCCACGCAACGTGGATTTTTCCTTAAATTATGGCTCGTCTTTCCTTCATCCCCGTCTCAGGTGGGTGCATCCTTGGGGTGCCCTGACCTTACTGAGAGCCCATTTGGGTCCCAGGTGAGGATGGGTCCCTGGAGCCCCTCTCCTGCCCGGAGCCCGGAGGGAAAGAGGCTGTGCCAGCAAACATTTATCCTGGTGCCTATCGCAGGTTAATAACTCTTTTGACAAATAGCAGCTTCCTCGAGGCTTGAAATAGGATTGCAAAAGCAGCCACTAATCTCCTTGAGAAGTGCTCGATGGTGGCCACCTCTCAGGAAATCAGGAGCTGTTTATGTTCTGTGTGTTGAGGCGTTAGCACAGCAAAAAAATCCCGCTTTTCTTAATCCACCGGGAAAAACTCTGCCTTGCCTTCATCTGCCAGGGCGGGGGGCTTGGGGAGGGAATCCTGTGAACTCAGCACTGCCCAAAGCCTACAGCACCGTGGGCTGGGTCGGGAAATGTTTTTTTCTCCTCACCGATGGTGTTTGCCATAAGCGAGGGAGAGACGGGACGGGCAGCAGGGAGAGCAGAGCCGTGGGACGGAGAATGAACATCTGAGAGCAGCACCTGAGGGACCAGGAGGCTGTGGGCAGCAAAACACCGCCTGGAGCGGTGCAGGAGTGAAACTCGGAGAGGAGGAGGAGGCACAGAACCTGCAAGGACAGAGGGAAATGTGAATGCTGAACTCCCGGAGCGCGGGGCTGTGCGGGCTCAGGGATGCTGAGTTTTTTGGGGTTATCGCCTTTCCCTGCTTTCCCCAGCAGCTCCCACCCCTGCCAGTGCTTCAGCCATCCGTGACTTCCGTGACATTAGGAAGGAGCTTGTCCCCCGTGACCGAGAGGTGGGATAATGGCTCCATTGTTCCCAGCTCCAAGGGAACAAAATGACACGGCAAGGAAAGCTGGAAGTTAAAAAGCCCTGCTCCCGTGCTCTGCCAGGGCTGCAGGCGGGCTCTTCTCGGCTGAGGCCCGTGGAACCCGCTCCCTCCATCCTGCAGAGCTGGAGAGCACCGAGCAGGGCTTGCAAACCAAAAAATACAAGCAGCGTGTTGAAAGATGAACAAAATGTGCATCTTTTTTCAGCAAAGCAGCTCAAGCACACGGAGGGTGTGGAGTAATTATTTATAGTGCAATCAGCAGAAATAATAGAATGAAATGAAGGGCTGAAAAGTTTTGCTGACTCTCAGGGAATGCGTCCTGGCACAGACGGATCATTCCCGGGCCCAGCCCTTCACATCTCCAGCTCTCCCAGGAGCAGCCTGGACACACAGCAGAGCTGGGATGCAGGGAGAGCTGCTGGGAGCTGGTCCCAGCGGGAGGATGGAGCTTCTGTGGCAGCTGCCACGTCCCTCCTGAGCCTGCCAGCCCGGCTGTGTGTCCTGCTGGATGCCCGAGCAGGGAAGGAGCAGCGAGCTGCGAGGGCAGGGGCTGCGTGCCCAGGTTTGACTTTTCCATTCCATTCGGGGAGCTCTGGGGTTAAGCAGGGGGTGAGGGGATGTTTGTGAGATCAGCAGGCACTGTGATCCCGTGTTTTGTGCTCTGTAATTGAGCTCCCAGCGCTGGGTTTCAGTCACTCTGGAGCCCAGGGACTGGAAGGATTGGCAGGCACGGGGAATTGCTCACCTGGAATTGCTCACCTGGAATCTGTCACTCACAGTGACCATGACCTGCACCAGGAGCTCTTTTCTAAAGGGAGATAATTGAGTTTGAACTCCTCTTTGTGGGGATAAAAAGTCCCCTTTGGCGTTACCCCCCCTTTCTCTTCACCCAGGGGTGGTGAGTGTGCCAAGCTTGTCCCTCCCCATCCGGGCAGATGTTGGAGGTGGCTGCTGAGGTGGGAAGGGTGAATTGAGCCCTGATTGAGCAGCAGGCCCTGAGCAAGTGAGGCAGAGTCCCCAGGAATGCTCTGTGGGTCGGGTTCTGAGCAGCCCCAGAGCCCTTTCCTTCCCCAGGCTCCTTGACAGCACCACCAGTGACCGTCCTGGGCTGACTTCAAAGGTTCCTCCAGGCCATTTGCTCCATCTCTCCCTGCCTGTCCATTTCCAGCCAGCTGGCATTTTCCTGCTCCAAACTAGAGCTGAATTTCTGAGGAAGACGCAGAAAAATAATTCCATTTTTATTGTAGGCGATAACCTTTCCTACTTCCTTGACTCTGTGGAGTGGAAAGAGCCCAGGCACACGAGGCAGAGCTCTCGTTTCTGCTTTCCCTCTGCCAGTCACCTTTAAACAAAAGGAACCCAGCAGGGTGTCTGGAGCAGGAAGGGACCAGTATGGATCTGACTGAGATAAAACCTGAATTTACTACTTGGAGCTGCTGGAATCTAATAGATTCTTCTATTTGGAGCAAGGGATGTTTGTCAGGCCCGTTCTCCATCTCTGGCAGGGTACTGCAGTTGGATTAGTCGTTCAGAACTCGGGAATGGTGAAATCGCAGTTACTGAGGGAAGGGCTGGAGGGACAGACACCAGCACGGTGTGACAGGATCCAGACGTGGACCTGCAGGGATGGATCACCCTGCCCACGGTCCTGACCTGCCCTGCTGGTCTGGGTGGCCTCAGGGCAGCTTTGTCCAGCTCACACTGTGCTCTTGTCTCTGATGTTTTCACCCCTTTTCTGCCCCTCCTTTGGGATGTGTTTTAGCCTTTTGAACAGAAGCCACTCTCGGTGCACTATTTTAACTGGAATGGGAGAGGAGAGGCTGCCCAGACAATGTTCCCTCGTGTTCCATGGTCACCCAGAGACTGCCAGAAACCGATGTCTGCTGGAGGCTGCTCTTTAAATAGAGTTCAACCAAACCGTGTTGGGTGCCCTGGGGATCCTTGAGAGCAGATTTTCAAGAAAGTCCTGTACAGATGTTGCTGAGTTTGATGGAGGTTTCACCCTTTAAATCCTCCTGTGCTCAGAGCTGACTGACTCTGGGCTGCTCCTGGCTCCAGCCAAAGCCTGGACTCCAGTTTGAGACCTGCCCAAGTGCTCTCAGGCTCTGTTTTGAGTGGGATTAATAAACCCTCAGGAGCTGCTGATGGTTCACTGGAGCTGGCGGGAGGCCCCTGCTGATTTTGGAAAGGTTTCTCCTGGAGGCTCCACTGCAGGAGCAAAGGCAGGAAGGGGCAGGCACCCCCAGAGCTGTGAATCAAACAGGAACCCATTCAGAGCGTGCTTTTATTTCTGCTGCCTCATAAATCCACTGTGGCAAAGCAGCCTATGGAGCTGGGAAAGGATTAACTTGGGAAGAGTAAAGGTCTCCCGGGGGTTAAGCACAAGAAAGCTGCTGGTTCTTCAGAACAAGGAGCTGCTGTGGAGCTGTGGAGGAGTCACCGGGCTGGCTGCCCTGGGGATGTTTGTGCCTTGTAATGATGTGACACCTCAGCTGGCTCCAGGCCTGGGGCTGTGCAGGAGGAGACTGCAGGAGAGTGTCACAGAACCCCGGGCTGGGCCAGGCTGGCGGGGACACAGAGCGTCACTGGTGCCACCTCCCTGCTCCAGCCCAGAGCACAGGGCACCGCATCGTGTCCAGAGGGCTCGGGAATATCCCCGCTCAGGGAGACTCCAGCCCCTCCCTGGGCAGCCTGGGCAGGGCTGGGCAGTGCCCAGGGCACGAGTTGTGCCTCCTGTGCAGGGGGAATTGCTGGGCTCGGTCCCTGCCCGTGGCTCTGGTGCCACTGCTGGGCCCCTGAGCAGAGCCCGGGCTCTGCTGGGAGCCCTCCCTGCACACAGGGACAGCCAGGGCTGAGGCCCCTCTCAGCTGGGGCTCCTCTCCAGGCTGAACAGCCCCAGCTCCCTCAGCCTTTCCTCCACAGGGAGATGCTCCAGGCCCTCCTCATCCTCACAGCCTGTGCTGGGCACACTCCAGGGGCTCCTGTCCGTGCTGTGCTGAGGATCCAGAGCTGGACACAGCACTCCAGAGCAGCCTCCAGGGCTGGGCACAGGGGCAGGGTCCAGGGCTGGGCACAGGGGCTCCTCTGGGCCTGGAGAAACCCCAGGCTGCCTTCCCTCCTCCCTCCCTGACACTACCCAAGGCAAGCCCATGAAAAGTCCCTTAAAGTTATTTATTTTTGGTGGTAATTTATTTTTGGTGATGCCATGCCTGAGATTCACCCTAAAGGGTTTGAAAGAACAGATTAGCTGAGTTTTAAAGTGTGAATTATGAAGAGAACCTGCTCTGTGCAAAGCACAGGGTCACCCTTGATGATTCAATGGGCTTTTCTTGACCATTAGTTAAACACTTTATGTCCAAACTGTGATCCACATAAAACTGCTGCTCTCAGTGTCCAGCAGCTCCAGGAGGAAATATTTTCTTCTCTGGCAGGAG